TGATCCTGCCTGTAAATTGGCATGCCTCTTGTAATATGCTTGTTATTTGAAATTATTATTATTACTATTATTATAATTATTGTTATTACTAATTTCTAGTGCAGACTTAGTGGTGACATCGAATATATGCAGAGTTTAAGAGAGTTCACCAGAAAAGGTAGATTTACATTCGTAAACATGTTTTTGAAGGCTTGCTCTGCCCAGCAGCGTATAATCGTCTCCACCTATCCTAAGGAGTCGTTAGGTATACAACAATAATATATTTAATATATGCAAGATTAGTTACCATGTAGTTGTACCAACAGCGAGTCAGGTTACCTGTTTTTCTCGTTCGCGATTTTCCTGAAGATTTAGAAAGTTTGTGATTGTGATATAAAGGTTTGTAGTTTCGTTCCGGTTCGGTCGAGGTGTTTGTTCAAGAGCACAAACATTGGAGCTGGGAGTTCTGGTGGTCTTCAGAGTGCAGTCAGCAGATGTCACTAGTTCTTCCACGGGATTCTTCTGAAATGGGACGAGAATGGAATGCATCTGTTGGGGAAGTTTATTTAGAAGGAAATGTTGTAAAAAGCCCCCTTCGAAAGTTTGTTAGTCAGCAGTCATACATAGCATTATTTCTATTTCATATCCGTGCTTCAGATCGATGTTGTAGAAGAGTTGGCTTAACCTCTGTCGATCGGTCAGGCCTTTACGCCCAAGAATGGCTTATTTAGGGCGCCCTTTGGTCCGTAACACATTTCACAAATACGATAACCAAAGCAAAGTGGAACCAGAAGTCGGAAATGATGGTTGGGATTTCGAGGAGTGAGTGGACTAAGCTTGTAAGTTAATGTGAGGAAACACGTCGCACAGAGTATCCAATTTGACGTGGCCTCGCTGACTTTCTTGCATTTACGGAAACAATCCATTTTCGGGATACTTTATCACCCCCGAAGCTATAAAAAGTTGTCTCCATTCATAAGTCGACAATCTGAGTACAATTTCGGGCAAACGGAATCATTCCAAGTCAGAACCATTGTGTGGTGGGTCTAGCTGCCTCGTTCAACTGCACTTTTTCTAGTTGCTTCGGCAACGTACACACATTCACTCACTCACTCACAAACACAGAACTTGTGGACAAGTTACTGGATACACCCAAAGTTACTTACTAATACGGTCAAAGGTATAGTTGCAATTTTGGAGTACTTTCAGACTCTATCCCTTGTAATTATATTATATACTACTAAATTCTTCTTTCCTAAATCCCTTTTTTGTGTATCTCGTATCTTAATTAACTCGATTTTCACCTCTTAATCTCTCTAGTATCATGTTAGGTAATAAGGTTGCTAGCACATTTGACACGATACCAACCAGGTTAAAAAATCCAAACCGTCAGTTTATAGCATTAATCTTAGTGTCCATACTTTGGATCACTCAGCTCAGACACCACAAGGTCCCAAACAGAGGAAGCATGACATCACTCCTTCTATTCTTAAAAAGACCAGTAAGTTAGTTAGGAACAGGAGAAAAAGGCGTTCCAAGGCTCAGTCGACGCAGTCTGACATCCAAGAACCGCATAAGGATGACTGTTTCGCCTGCTCATTATCAGTAAAAATCAGTGACTGCTTTTGAACGCAACTTCTGTTGTACATGGGTACATTGTCACTGCGACACCGCAGTATCTAAAGAGTACTACAGATTCACGCTGAGTCAACCCTACCCGTGGTTCTGGTATATCTGCCCACGTGAATAGCAACACCCAATTCACAAGCGGCCTTCACCCAAGGACAGGGACGACAGATTCAATTCACTTATTTAATTTCCCAGTATCGGAAGGGAGCTTCCTAGAAGGTAGGGCTGCGTTTCATAAAGAGCAGTGGGATAAATAATACACAACCCTTGGAATGAGCAACATCGCAGCTAAAATATGCCGCCTTTTCAAAGGTCAAAATGTCTCGAAAGGAGAACCCCCTCCAATGAGTGTAACTATTGACTCGGCACGACTTGCTGAAGACACCATCCTTTCATCCCGAAGACCATTATAGTACTACGCAAACCCATTGCCAGCTGACGGTTTAGGGAACATCTGTATTACTCCTGATTTAGTACTAAGGAAACTAAAATCCTTACGTCCAAGTAAGTCACCAGGTTGTGAAAAAATTCGCCACATAGTCTTGAAACAATGTGCATAAATCTTCTGTTCACTGATATGTGACCTGTTCAGGCATTCAGTGGAGTCACACCAACTCCCAGATGAATGGAAACAAGCTGCTATCTCTCCAATCTTCAAAGGAGGAGATAGGAAGGACCCAGCCTGTTTCAGACCTGTCGCATTACTACCTACACCATCAAAGGTAATGGAAGGGCTGGTGGACGAACAATTGAGGGAGTACATGAATAAGAATAAAATACTCCGTGAAGCTCAACACGGGTTTCGGAAAGACAGGTCGTGTGCATCTAATTTTCTCATAGCATGAGACAGTTGGACATCCTGTTTGGACCGTAAAATACCGGTGCATGTAATATTTCTCGACCTTGCGAAAGCCCTTGACACAATACCCCACGGACACCTAATCGCAAAGGTTGTGGGAATGGGCTTCACTGACCCACTCGTATCTTGGATCAGAAACTACCTTGAGAATAGAAAGGGAATCGAGTGCACGCGAGCTGGCGAGTATCCACATCGAGAGTTTCATAGGGGATCATTTTGGGCTTACTTCTTTCACACATTCGAAATCATCAATCAAACATTGTTAGACCACCATTAAAAACCTGGAAGCACTGGACGGCCGTTTCGTCATGATATGGGACTCATCAGCAGTGCGCATCCACGACTCCTGCACCCCTCAGGAGTTCTGATCTTTATTAACGACCTGTTTAACTCAGTTAGCTCACGGGCATTGATCTATGCAAACGATGCGAAAGTCTGGAGGTCTATTGGAAGCGAAGAAGATTCGGCTGAGCTTCAAAAGGACCTTATGTCTATTCAGGAATGGGGATTGAAAAGCGGTTAAAAACTCAACCAACTGAAGTGCTACGTCATGCATATTCTGCCTCACATGATGAAAACGATCTACACCCTCAATGGAAGTCCGCTCCCTAATGTCTCCACAGAGCTCGATCTCGGTTTATATCCACAAAACCCTCCACACGAGTCCGAACTATGTAGGGGACGCAGCCAAAGCACATGCGACTCTTCCCTTTATGTGAAGAAAACTTGGTGCTATCACCCCGCAATCATATCTAACACTATTTAAGACGTATGCGCACCCAAACCTGAAGGTTCACAACGTCATCACATCCCCTCTGCTTAAAAGAGACATAAATCTCTTGGATCGAGTGCAGGGACGAGCAACCAAATGGGTGATAGGGTTGAAAAATAAGCCTTACAGTGATAGACTACAGCACTTAGGATGATTTCTACTGAGCCACAGGCGAATCAGAGGTGATCTGATCATGGCGTACAACATATTAAGCACGCCAAACCATCCCAACGTGAGCATCTTACTGATGCATCACCACCACTCGCTACATTTATTTAGATGAGCAGTTTCTTGGTGATATTGATGATAAGTAAGTTTAACACAGAATTTGCTTGGTTTGAATTGAAGGGGGTTTTCTTAAGGTTGTGGATTTTTTGGAATCACCAGCTACAAACTTCTAGTTTAGAATATCTGTTTGTCTTTACCACATAGCTGTGTTATTTCTGATTGTTATCGTTTGGTTTCCTAATTAGATGTATGTGCATTCTTACTGGCTGGTCTGCTCATTTTTTCTCATTTTCTTTCCTCTTCCAGATAACCTCATAAACTGCTCACAGTCCGGGCACACCAGTTACCTTCAGGCTAAAGGCACGCTTCTGGAAGACTGAAGTTACAGGATATTTGTCTTACTAAAGCATGCTCCATTGAAACCATCAGACGTTTACCGTCGAAAGGATTTCCAGATCCTACGGCAGACAACTCCTCAATTAACACCAGGTGTATTCATTTCTAGTGTCAACTACCTGCAATATCCAATATCTTTTTCACGAGATTTACTTCGCGCTCGATTCCTGTTGTTTCGGTACGGTTCTAGGTATTTGGTAATGTCAAATGGATGGAGGTCTAGCCACTCAACTGTCTAATTCTAGTCAGTTGGCAGTTGGTTGTGAGTATGTATGTATGTATTATCGCTTTATGATTGAATGTATTCTAAACTAAGATCATGACTTCGCCTGCTTAGTTTGACGTCGAGGAAATTCAGCTTCTTTTAACACTCATCTTCACCTATGAACTGCTCTCAAGATGTACACCGAACGTTCATTTTGTCGTTAACAGCAGTTGTTATTAGAATAATAGACGAAATAGCCATGATCATGATCTATATTGCCACTACATACACGACACATTTTTCTAGATCAGAACACCAGTAAAGAAATACTCATAGAACAATTCAACGATGTACACCCAGAAATCACTTTCGTAGGTGAAGACGAGTGTTTAAAGAAGCTGATACCTGGTTGAGTAGCAGCGTGTACAGAAAAATTCCGTTATACAAGAAATTCGGTTCGGTGTCTTACAAGCAGAGCAAAGATGATCTGTTTAGTGGATGCTTTAAGTCAGGAGCTGAAATTTATCGACAACTAACTGACTGAGATCGGCTACCCCAGCGCGTTCCTAAATAAGCACTTATATACTCTAAAAAAGAATTCGGAGACTTCGACTGTTCGAAAGAAACTTCTATTGATTAAACTACAAGTCAACAGCGATGTGGCTAGCGATATCTTGCATGTTAGATTAGCGAGAGTAACTAGTGAGACATTCTATGCAGCTAATCTTGCCTTGACTTACTCGAATCGACCAGTAATGTCTAATCAAACGAAGGATAAGTTACCTGTTACTCGCTATGGATTCATTGACGCTTTTTAAAGATTTATTGTGGTATGAAAAGTTGTTTTTTTCATATACGTGTGTGAGCTAATCCATAAGAACCTTATGATTATTGTAATTTCTTGCTATATTTCCCACTCTTTTTTGTATTAGTTGACTCGGATCCAGTTATACTTTGTCATAGTGCAGCTAATTGATCTATTGATATATAACAAAGTACTGAATGTTTTCTTCAATCTATAAAGAATATCAACATGAAAAGACCTATAGGAAAGCTCAACTGGAAGCTAAAAAACAATGTATGCTTGTTTCAATTAATGAAATGACAAATGGATTACTAAACAAAATCGATCAAAATGTATCAAAAGTAATGTCATTCCTCCAACCTTTTAGTGTTGTTTTTGGAGAGGGGTATTTTTCTCTCTATGTGAATTCTATTACTCTCCAGTTTTTTTCTTTCGTGGAGTTTCAGCATATTTTATTTCTTTAGATAAAGGTACTCAATTTTTCTTTAAACTGTTTGAGTTTTTGATAGTATTTAGAAATAATTCGTTTGTCGGAAACTACTGATGTACAAACACGAGTTGAGTTTTTTTTGCCTAATTCATCAGTTCTTTTTAAAAACAAAGTAGGGAGTTAGTTTCTTTCGCGTAAATTAATATCAAGAGTATTTGAAATACTTTTTTTTGAATCTTGATCATCCGTATTAATATTCCAATCGATTTCCCACACATCTGCTTGGTTCAAAATGTTTTTGCCGTTTTATTTTGGATATTCGTAGAACTGCCTACAGTTACCTTTTTTCATTAAGGTTGCAACTAACTGTGATGTACTTTTATTTGTAGTCTTTTGTACTTTATTTCAAAGCATGTTATCCCATATGGCACACGGTTCGCGGACATTGAAAGCTCCGTGTACTTTAGAGCGTGGTTTCAGAATACCAGGAATAAAATTTTATGAACCTGAATGATTAGCACTGGTAGCGCATGATGATAAGTCATGATGATGGTAAGTCATAGGGATAAGAGATTTAGTAAGATGTGAGGGAGGGTTTTATTATGAATAGGATGATCTCGGGTGCTGTTAGAGGTATGAAGGTTTGTCACTTGTCAGTTTTTATGACGAAGGGATACTTATTCATGGAGGAGCTGAACGGGAAACTGGATTGGTGGTGATCTTAGTGATCTGGGAGCATGACTGCAGAGCCCAAGGGACAATTAATTGGTGCCGGTCACACACGACCATTTTCTGATAAGTTCTTGATGTGTTATCTCTATATTTCAGAGAGCTTTACTCATGGAGACAAAAATCCTTGAGGTTAGGCGAGGTGACATTTTAAGGGGTGGGTCTTCACGATAGCCAAGTTGGATCACAACGTCTAAGTAGTAGATACGGTCGGGAAAAAAGACGAGGTCAATTTGTGAATTTACATGCAGGAAATAAATTTCGATGAGTAGTTTTCTGTGTTTGTAGTGTTTTTAAACTGTATTGATATTAGATACTGTAGGCGAATACGTTGCTGTTATTAATTTGGAAGACAACCTTAACACCTAATAATCTTGTCTAACAAACTTCTAGAATCAGAATAGTTTGGGTCTGCTCTCCTATCAGAGAGAAATACTTACACAGGACTTTTACTGACAGTCAAAGTCCTAAGGTCAAGCAGGAATTATTAAGTATTCTTGTTTCTGGACCTGGAGTAGGGCGAAAATTCTGCCTGCATAATTTAATTTGAAATGTTCCGTTCTCTGTTGTGTTACTAGCTATAAAACTTGAAAAATACACAAGAAACATATGATAAAAATATTTAAATTGTTCACAACTTTACAGCATATCTTTAATTAATGAGTTGAAATCTGTTGTTGTTTTTCGTGTTTGTTATTTCAGTTTGTAGAATTTTGTTAAATTAAGTCAGCTGAAGAATTACTAAGAAATCGAATGAATTTGGAGACTATTTCATCCTTGTTAAGTTACTGTATTGACTCCAGTGATTGGTATTTCTTATTTGAGTTTTAATTATGGAAAGCTTTGACTTGTATGGTACTTTTAGTTCCATTTATCACAAACCAGATCATATACGTCATAAGAGGTGGTAAGATTTTACCTGAACCTTAAGTTTGTTGATTGTAAGTTGACTGCCTAGGTCGAAGTTACAGCCTCTTTTACAACCTTAAATACATGTATCTTTCAAAGTATAGATCATTAAATTGGAATTCTGTCTTGTTAACTAATCACCAATCATGTTTTCAAATCAATGATGATACTATCATGTATTTATTACGTCCCATGAAATGTTCACTAATTATATTATTATGCCTATTTTTAGTGATAACTGCTAAATATGTAACTCAAACTGAATTCCCTGATTAAGATAATTACAAACTAGTTTCCATTTATTATATATGAGAACTTTTATTAACAATCTGCAACTTACATCGGGTTAGTTTCTATCTAATTTTTCTTTCAGGCATATACAAATCAGCACCGATTAAACAGTGAATTCAAAGAGTTAATCAATCAATTACACATTTATCAGAATCATGTTAATGTATGGTTGAAGCTTGTTTCTGATATTCGTAATGTTCTTAAAGAACTAGGTGATGTTGAATGTTGGTCCATGAAAATGGAACAAGATGCCATGCTAATCGACAGTTGTCTACAAACAGTGCTCAGTCGTTATTGAACATCACTTTCTATGAATATAAAATCCTGTTTGGTTTCCTGAATATTAACATATCGTGTTTTCTAATTTTCCATCATCTTAATTTCAAACTATAATATTTACTTGACATTGAAGCAAACTAATGAAATATTTGAGCAGATTACATATTTTTTTATGTAAATTAATTACTAAAGTTTTCTGGGAATAATATAATCTGTTAAAACTGCAATGATATAATATTTTTGATTATTAAACACATATTAGTCTACCAACAAAGGTTGGTATCTTATCAATAATGTTGTTCAGGAGTTTAGATTTTTATTCATTGAAGACAGATAATCCATGGATTCTTCTGGGAGTCGAAGTGTCGTACCGTCAGCGAGTTTGGCAGTAGTGCATACAACTTCAGCCGTCATTGCATTTCGAATTCCCAGTAACACGAGTAAAAGGTAATCATTCCACTGTGATACGCTCGCAGCTGGTACAAAACGGTTAGATTGTGGATGTTAGGCGGTCGTTCAGAATCGTGTGATTCTTAGAAGTGCAGTAAGATATCGCAAAAGTACAGATTCGAACTGACATCCACGGTCTGTTGTAATAGTTGAAGGGCAACCAAAGTTTTCTACCTCCCAAATGAAGTCTGCGACTGTTCTCACAGTAATATTTTTGATAGGTGCTGCTTCTGGTCATAACGTGGAACCATTAACACACGTCAAGAGTATTCATTTAAATCCAGTAACGGTTCTACCACGTCAAGATGAATGTGATAGTGTGGTGCGAACTACTTATAAGTATTATATGACGTGAGCGTCAACGTAATGTCTGGCAGCCGAAGATGGGGAAAGATCAAGGAAGAGTTAGAAAACAATGGAATTTGTATGAAACGCATGAATAGTGACAATGGATTGATGTTTTGCAACAGGAACAGTCCAGTTCGATATGATGAACTGTTATTTTGCAAATTAACGATTTACGATATGGTTTTCCAATTTTAGTGAGTAACTCTGTAATTTTCGTTACATACAATTCGGTTGCCCCACCTGTGTTCTCTTTCACTACAATAGAAGCGAGCACCAAGAGTTCAGAAGGTACTTAAAGAATATTTGTTATGCTTATTCACCCTTACACGTGTGCAGTCCCTCACGTCTTTGTTCGTATCAGGCAGGCAAAATCGTTCTGGTATCAGCTTGATGGTTACTCGGATACCTGGATGAGAAAGTTTGTGTGACGCAGATCTGTCCTTCCGGATAAGATAAAAAGAGATAAAACGCAGAACTTCGTACGTGAGTACATCAGTCCAGGTTGTCATACCACATCAGCACAGAGACGCCACCGTCAGTTCAAATCCCATTGTGGTGGCGATAGCAGAAGAACTGGTAATGGAGAATATTAGGGATCGAAGATATTATTCAAGAAGTGTAGTTCAGTGAGATAACTTTAGAAAGAGGAAGATAAAGATAATGAATTCTGAAGATTAGAATTGAAGAGAACACAAAGAGTGAATGCATCTGCCCCATTGCAAACGATTTTGAGCCATGTCGTTCAAGGTCTCTAACCATTGGTGACTTTCGTCCCGCAGACCCCAACTAGGTAACCGACATCTACCAACATGACTCAGTCCACTTGTCAGTGACTTCATGGATATGTGCCATGTTTTGGTCTGGCTGCCCATAACTTTCTTCCAGCCTAAACCTACACCACAAACAATTGCTGGTCGAGACAGCCGGTGGTTGGGCATTCGTAACACATGTCCCAACCATCCCAACTGATGAAGTTTCGATACTTCATCGATTGACCTGCCACCCTTACATAGTACTTGTTTCCTAATGGCAGCATTGCTTACTCGGCTGTCCCAGGATAAACGACCAATGCTTTGGAGACACTTATGGTCGAAGACAAACTGTAGTGCCTTTACATTTATTTGTATCCGCTTACATTCAATTTGCTTAAGCCCTTTTGATTAATTTCTTTAACCAAGCCATTCGCTTAGCAACAGCTTGTATGTACCATTGGTATTTTTTATTATCTGCTTTGTATGAGCTTGTACAACTGAGCATTGCTTACGCCTACGCGCTTACTCATCCTTTTCGCTTTAATGTTAATCTCTTAATATCCCATGAACTCACATGATTTGTATCGCTTGCTTTTGACCTTATCAATCATTCGTCGCTTTTATTCATGTGTGTGCATGCCTATTTCGCTTGTCATATGTCTGTCTTATTTATGCCTATATATTCTTAGTCATGCTCTATCTCTTTGAGTTTGCTCTTAGCCTTCTCCAATTCACTTCGCCCATTCGCTCGCATTGTAATCCAAAGAGTTGACTCTTAGCCTTCTCCGATTCGCTTCGGTTTGTGGTGTGCCTCGAATAAACGTACTCATCAATACGAGTTCATCTTCTGATTTATAAATCGAGCTTAAGAACACGCAGTAAATCGACACACTACAAAACAACCTGAGAAAGTCCTATACTCTTACTGGTCATGTTTCTCATACGTATAGTAGGACGGAGAGAACTGCTGCGCAGTACACTCGTCCTTTGGTTATTAAACGGATATCTCGCCTGCGCCATAGGTGACGCAAGTTGGCAAAAGCCAATTGAGCTTTCTGTATCCATGCTGAGATTTCATCAGTCACCAGGTCATCAGCACTGATGAGACTCCCAAGATAAGTGAAGCGGTCTACACGTTCGACCACTTCACTCCCTATCACTAGTTCAGGTGCCGATGCAACCCAGTCTTGAAGCAACATTTTGCATTTCGATGGGGAAAACCGCATCCCAAACATGCTCGCATTGTTGCTTATGGTAATCAGAAGACTGATGACAGTTCGCCATAGGCTGTTACTCGACCAGTGGTGTTCCATTAGAAAGCCTGTATAAGGTTAATGTACTTCTATGGTACTCCTTCTAATGGCAGATATTGCATCAGAACCTCACGATCAACAGAGCCGAATGCCGTTTTAAGGTCGAGAAATACCACGATTGTGAGGCATTTGAACGTGTGTCTTTGTTCTAGGACCTGACGTGGTGTCAAAATTTGGTCTGTACATCTACGTCCAAGTCGAAAACTAGCCTGGTTATCTCAAGTCTGCTCTTCACGAGCTTTCGTTAAGCGTCGGAGTATTATTGAGGCCAATATTTTCGTTACTATATTAGTTATGCTGATTCCTCTGTAACTTTCACAAGAAGACTTTGTCCTTTCTTATAAACTGGGACAATTAGTTATTGAGACCAGCCAGATGTTATTGCGCCCAGTTCTCAGATTCACTCAAGATTTCAGTCAATCTAGCTGTTAAAACTGGACCACCATCCTTAAATATCTCAGGGGTCAATCTATCAGGTTCTGCTGCTCTCCTTCGCTTCAGATTTCCGATAGCCTTCTCAACTTCATAAAGAGTCGTAGGACTTACGTTGACTTGCCATTCAGGATGACTGGAGATCATGGGTAACTGAAGAGTGGCTCGTGGCCAGTTGAACTGATCCCTAAAGTGTTCTGCCCATCGATCCAGTCTCCTGGATCGAGAACAAATAATAGTCCCATCATTTCCCGAGATAGTCTCACTTACACTATGATTCCTAATACCAGTTTCCTTGATAAGTCGGAAAAGTTGTCTACTGTTCCCTATCACCGCTGCCTTTTCCATCACTTTTGTTTTCGCCACCCACCACTGTTCACGGTCGTCGCGCAGGCTTTTTATCAGCCTGTACTTAAGTTGACTTCGTTCTTCATCATGTTCAGAGTCAGATGGGATGAGTTTTCGGGCATCCATCAGTTCGGTGGATGCTACAGAGACCCACGGCTTCATCCTAGGCTAATGGTTTACCTTACTAGCAGATATCATTGCTGTTCCCACAGCCTTTTGCATATCATTACAAGCTGCCTCAGGATGGGAATCACTTACATGGCCGCCTAACTTTTTCTAGTTGTTCCTAATATATATTCTTAGCTGTTCTATCATTAAGTAGAACTCTAAAAGGTTTCCTTGCGGTGTCGTTCCTACGTCCGGTAAGACGCAAACAAATACGCGCTCTCATTAGGGCATGATCTGAATCTAAACATGTGCCCCACAACGAGCGACAGTTCTCTATCGAACCCCTACATCGGTGGCTGATGGCGATGTGATCTAGTTGCGTCCAATGTTGAGACGACTTTGGAGGTCGCCAGGTCAACAGATGCTTTTCCTTATGCCTAAAGTTAGTGTTTGCTAAGAATAGGCGGTTGTCTGAGCATACTTGCAACAGACGGTCACCATTGTCTGTTCTCTGACCCGCGACACCATAACATCCACCTAGGTGTCTTTCATTTTCACTTAGTCTACCTACTTGAGCAATAAAGTCACCAGCCATTATTACTACATCAGAGCGCCTAGTTTTTTGAGGTCCAAAAGCTTTTTGTAAAACTCATCTTTTACATCATCTGGGCTGCAGTCAGTGGGGGCGTAGGCTGATATGACGAAGAGGCAACGGCGGGTGTCCCTATCTTTCCGAGTCCTTACTTTCCCGTTCAGTCTGACAGCGCACAAGCGACTATCTACCGGGATCCAGTCTAGGAGAGATTGTTCATCTCTACGACTCAATGCTATGCCTACGCCAGCAAGACCCCTGGAATCAGCATCAAGACCTCCAGAAATACGAAGAGTAAATAGGCGCCGCTTCTGTTGCCCTATTTGAACAATGTCCGTACATTAAATGCTCCAACATGTAGTCTAGAACGAGGTTTCAAGAGACCAGGAATAACGTTTCGTGAAATCGCATCGTTTCCACTTGCGGTACAGTGTGACAAAGGAATGTGAGAAGAGTTAATCGTGGAGATAAGAGAGATGTTTGGGGGGGGGTGTAGGAAGGATTTGATTGTTATTAATTTTGTCCCGCGTGCTGTTACGGGCATGTGGGTGGTTGTCACTTCCCGGCTGCCCACACCGTGGAAGGTTGTTTCTTGAGAAATCTGAAAAGTAAGGTAGATTAGTTTTGGTCTTAACGACCTGGGAGCTTGACCGCAGAGTCTACAGGACAACTGCTTGAGGCCAATCACAGAAGGCCTTTTTATAAGTTTTCAAATTGTTGGCTCCGATTTTTTAAAGGGCCTTACCGTCGGAGACCGAAATCCGTGGGGTGAGGTGTGAAATTTTTAGGGTCGACCTTTTCTAATCCTTCCTTTCTTGTGAGCAGGCAGCATCGCTGCAGATGCTGGTTGTCCTACGGAAAAACCTTACTGTTTTCACATCTCTCCGCTTTCAACAGTACGGATTCACCATCAGACCTTGAGCATCTGCTTTTAGTCTAACCGTTTCCAAATCGACCTGCCTGGCATGGTAGTTCCTATAGGAATATATGTTCCACCCAACGCTCTACTGGCTTTTGCCAACTTGCTTCACTTATGGCGTTGGCGAGATATCCGTGTGATAACCAAAGGACGAGTCTACTGCTCAGCACTTCGCTGCGTCCTACTTTATGGTTACGAAATATGGCCAGTAAGAGTGGAAGACATTTTTAGGTTACTGGTTTCCGGATATAGGTGTCTCCGAAGCATTGATCATTTATTTTTGGATTGTCAAATAAGCGATGTGGTTGTCAAGAAACGAGTGCTAGGTAAGGATGGCAGATCAATCGATGAAGTATTGAAACGACTGCCTCGTCGAGCTATGTTTTGTGGTGCATGAGTAGGTTGAAAGAAAGCTAGGTGCGGCCAAAATAAAACATGGCACATATCCATGAAGTCACTGACAAGTGGACTGAGTCATGTTGGTAGATGTCGGTGACCTAGTTGGGGTCCGCGGGACGAAAGTCGCCATTGGTTAGAGACCTTGAACGACATGGCTCGTTCGCAATGGGGCAGATGCATCCACTTCTTGTCTTCTCTCAAAATCTAATCTGAATTCTTCATCACTCCTATCTTTCTCTTCCTAGATTTATCTCACTGAATTTTACTTCTCGAATAATATCTTCGACCCTAATCTTCTCCATTACTGCTAATACTTCTGCTATCGCTACCACAATGGGATTTGAACTGACGGTGGCGTCTCTGTGCTGATGTGGTATGACAACCTGGACTGATGTACTCACGTACGAAGTTCTACCTTGCAACTAACTGAATTTAACAATGAAAGTTCCGTATGATAGTGGGAGAAGCAGATTATGAACAGTTCAAAGCGTGTAGACGTTAGTTGATTCGTATTCGAGATAGCGTAATGTGGATTGTCTCCTTAGAGATTGATACTTTTTCCTTAAAGATGTGCTTTCAATGTCTTCTAAGAAACCAGAGGATCTTGCTAATTACCTTAAAGCACTTTAAATATCAAGAGTTGCTCCATTTATGATGTTGGTTTTAAGATCGTAGGAACTAAAGTAATAAGGATGAGATTTGATGTTAAATCTCGCATGCTGACTAAGCAACACATCTATAGTTAGCCGATTAAAGGAAGGTCACATTTATTTTTAAGGAGTTCTCAGTTATAAACTGAAATCATTACACAGTGAGCATCAGGAACCATGTTTTACCTTCTATATCAACATATTCAACTGATTTCATTAAACAATATCAGTACAACTGTCACTACTTTTTATCACCTTTGTATAAAACCAGAAGTCAATCTTGTAACCATGGGTAGCCCGATCTCCCAACTTTGGGAAACCTTATGTAGTAAACTTTGGGAAAATTTAACCTAAAATTTTCCCGTTACATTGGGGAAATTTCAGAATTTCCCTAAAGTTGTGTGTGGAAACATTTGCAACGAAATCAGGTGGCTAAACGGATGTGGTAATTATTCGGTGGCCCACTCCTGATAGTAATATACATATCTGGTAATTGTAGGAATAATGTTATAGACAGTTTTCGTGGTAAAAGTTTACTTTACTAGTAACCTTGAACCATTTATGTTCACTCTTGACCGTCACTTTTACCATTGATATCATGGTGTTGTAACGTCAGCGTCGACGAAGCTGGCGCCTAGTGGTACTAAGTATCTGAATAGTTCGCATGAATCATACTACTATAATCGACAGATGGTGGATGAATTCATATTAATTTAGGGAATACAGGTCCTTGGGACAGAGCTAACAATAATAGTGGAGCTTTCCGAAGTCAAATTTATTCTTCTTGGTGCAAGTAACTGATCTACGTTTAATTCATTTTATAACTGTTGCCATTTTAACTGCTATGTTATTTGTCTTGATAATTTTCTTACTGTGATGTTCTAGTGTAGCAACTAAAACTGATGGATATATCCATCACGTTCCACGTCTCTTAAGTGTGACTGACTGACTGACTGACTGACAAGGCTGTTAACAACATCCTTTATTATTAAGTTTTAATGATTATTTTGTAGTTCATATTACACCAAAAAATAATTTTTTAAATATGCATATTTACGCTTACAAGTATGCGGCTTGATAATTAGCTCTCTAGAAAGATAACTCTTCACCGAATTAGAATGTCTTCCATTTCGTAATAGGAGTAATTAATATCTTACAATATTTCGTATGTGAATTGCAGTGGAATACAAAACTCACATCACATCCTATATCATATTTGTCAGTCGAATTAACCGGCATTCATGTTGTTGTTCACAGCGGTACTTAAACTAGGTACTTCTTAATCGCAACTTTTCATGCCACTTTACTTAATGGTCAGTTTTCACTAGTTCATACTTTGACAAAAGCATTTTTTGAATCGATATTTAACGTCAGTGACCTTATATTCATTTAGTCATTATCCAAACATTTTATCTTGTCCAACGTAACTGACTGGGACTAATGCTTATGCTCATAACTAGTTTCGTTCATCTTCCAGTATGTGGAACTGTTGCCAAAAATGTTACGACTAAATGTCTTTGTTGAATAAGTTAACGATGTATACACAGTAATTTTCAAGATAACTGAACATGAAATTCGCCTTCTAGACACTCATAGATTAAACTAAATGAATGCTGATCAATGATATTTATCAGAATATGGCTTCGTTAGTAGAAAAAAACGTAGATAAACAGTAATCACGTAGGTAAATAACATAAAATCGTTTTGTGGTGACCTGTTCTTATGCACAGCAATCTAAGCTAAAATTGATATACACTTCACCGACTGTTAATCTACTTAAATATATATATATAGACAGTTTTATTGCCAACAAAACAATAAGTTTATTAAATATTGTAGGCAAGTATTTCATACAAACAATATTTACTATTGAGAAATGCGTTTTTTTGTACTTTCTGTTTGTAGTAATTCCATTAATGTTTGTTTAGTTTACTAGAGATTCTTTCAATTGCATGTTTGAAGATGAAAGGAATACACAGTCTTCATCGAAATGTGGCGGAAAGTTTGCATTCTGTAACGATGGACATTGAACATTTGCACAATGATAAAATGACTGTGGCTGAAATATATTTTCGAAAAAACATTTGATATGCATCATGATAATTAGATTGAATTTGTGGGGAAAAAAAAAATAAAATTTCAATAAATTATCCTGTGTTGTTGTTAGAATTAATTGTTTTATCAGAGAATATTATTATCATTTATCATATTAGGTGATCGGTCGGTGAACTTATTTCCAAATAGCCTAGGCTTGGAATAATTTAAGTAGCCCTAGTTTTTGATTTAATCCCACTAAATACAGTTGTTGAGGTTACCTCAATGTTTTCACTACTTAGTAGACATATTGTACACACCAGTTCTAGAGGTGTTTTTGTCTATTTAAATGACCAGTACTATGTATCAATACGTTATTTTCACCAAAGGTATCATTTCGAATATTCACAACTATTTGCTATGGGTATAGCTATTGCAGTGCAGTCTAATATACCAGATGTGAAAAAGTGGGACAAAAGTTAGTGCTAGAAATAAAATTTTTCGTGAAAATGCATTCTAATACTCAGTATTTATTTACTAAACAAACTGAAAGTAGTAGGAACACTGTAATTTCGCAATGAAAACGTTAAGAATCACATTGCCTGTTCAATAAACACTGACTTAGGTGGATAAGTATGATGAAGCTGATAGCTTGTAATCCAACTGAATCATTTAATTATACTTGAATATATTTGGTATAAAATTGATCCCTCTGCTTTCTTGAATTAATAACTTAATGATCAGTCTTTATCTTCTGATCATAATTTTCTGAGAATTCCTGAATATTTTTTGGGCATTCTAGTATACTGATGTAGATTTGCCGATAAACTTACGGAAAAGTTGCTATGATTCGAGTGAGTGGAAAGAAACTACTACGATTCGATTATTTAATAAATGAATCTTCACGTTCTATGGTCAGTTCACTAGTACAGTCTCTGATAGTGGCGAGGGTTCGAATCTCATAAGAGGTTATAAATTTCTATAGTTGAGATTCGCTAAATACTGCCGAGTTGCATGAAACGTAGTTTCAGGGTTTTCTGTGAACTGTCTCCAGCTACCTAACACTGCACTTGTTGTATAGTTAATGGATTGTAATTACTGGAGTGCCATGAGTTATATTTTTCTTAAAATACAACCACAGATGAAACACAACCCAGTAAACACGTGCAGATTAATAAAGTTTCTGTGAATCACACTTGATACATACTGTTACAGCTAATATTTAATCTCTGGGAAACGAGACAATAAGACCTAGTGTGGTGTGAACTACTTATAAGTAGTTCATGACGCGAGTAAAAACGTAATGTCTGGCAGCAGAAGATGGGGGAAGATCAAGAAAGGTAGAGCGGAAACACAATGGGATTTTTATGAAACGCATGAACAGTGAAATGTCAGACAATGGATTGATGTTCGCAACACGACAGCCCAGTTCGATATGTTGGGTTGATATTTTGCAAATTAACGATTTACGATATGGTTTTCCTTTTTTACCAATTAACTCTGTACATTGTGTAAATACAAAATGAAAATCACATGCAAAGGAAACTAATAAATAAAATACTTTAATGGTAATAATAAGAAGTTTATTCACTGAATTTCTTTCATTCGTCTTGTTTATATGCACCATGTACACAGATAATCGCTATTCGTCAGACTGTACTAGTCCAGTTAGCTTATTTCATTCATTCAGAACTAATTTCAGAAGACCAAATAACTTTAAGAATAGAGCTTATGGTTATCAATTAGGAAAAGTATAGAATAAGATTACTATAAACTTACATCTTGATAACAGTGTAAACAAATTGCTAAACATTTATCATATGCTGAATCAGCTACAGAATATATTTCTTTTGCTAATAAATAATCTTTCATTTTTTGACTTGAAGCAGGGTGCTGAATCGACCCATAAATTGAGACTGTACAAGAAATGAAGAGAATCAATAAACTTTTCATTGTTAACTGATAAATTAGTCCTTTCGAAGAATATTTGGATAATATTGTCATAATTGTTATGATTATCCTTCAATATGAATGAATATTGAACTCTGTTGAAATTGTTATTGAGGGCTGAGATATAACCTTGGTAATTTAAAACAAATCTGAGTAAACATATATTTGTTTAAATCGGTGAAAATATCACATGGAAAGATATTTTTTGTATAGATTATTACAAGGAATAGAAACGTAACAGAATTAAGACCAAATAATAATCAAAAATCAAAAGTCAAATGTCAAAAAACGTTATTATTCACTAATCTTGTTTTGATACTCATAATATTTTCAGTGTTCTGATACTTGTGCAAACATCACATTCAATGCAGAATTATTCTTTCATATTATATCAATGAACATTTAGTGCAAAATGGCAGATTCACTTTCTAACTTATGATATATATCCGAACAGAAGTAAGGCTTTTTAACAGATCACAAATACCGTATGATGACATTATAATAAAAGTGGACTTCATTTTCTTGTTGGCGACATTAAGGATTACAATGAATCAGCCCTAACTGGCATATGTGAATCCTGTTGGAACTTTTCTGTATCGTCATTCAATAATTAGCTTTATTAAATTTGGCTTTTGGATGATGATGGTAGCCTAAATGTACGTTTCGCTCTGTTCGGGACTCATCGGTTGGATTAACCTGTATTTCACTAATGAGATAGAAGCAGGATGCCTATCGCTTCAAATATCGTCTTGTTATCTATTATAATAATATTAATAATGATAAAATGGAAACGTTGACTAACTTATTCACAGTCTTTAAACTCAATACCTCAGTATTTGAAATAATGGAGTTTAAAGTATAAGTTACTGGAATCGAGTTTTAGTGTAAACAATGCAAGTATAAGTATATCAAATTGTCTAATCTCAAAAAGAGTTAGAAGCGCTTTTCAGATTCTACTGCAACCTGAAATTCAACTTTAAACTTGACCGGGTCGGAATAACTTCGTTTCAAAATATTATAAGACTTTTAATATTCAAATTAACAGTCTAAATGATTTGAATAAAATTCAATGAATTATAGCAAAAATACTAGTAAGTAATCAACTTGGGTACATAATTCAAAATTTCAACTGATATCTTCAACTTCAATTGACTAGGTGTTTTATTTCGAAATATAATGCTAAGCACTGATTTGAAGTTTCCATTTTTATAATCTATTCGTAAATCAAAATCAAGAAAGCTATTCAATGATAATAGATACAAAATCTAACTTCATAATTTGTAAAATTTAATAACAACTTTGACTCTCAATGCAGAAAAAGAACTTGTTCAGTTTTATCGTTTTGCTAATCTGTTTAGTAATGATTAGCTTTTATATGAGTCAACGTATGTATCAGTATAGAACAGCGATATTTATAAGTGTTGGGTTATTATTAAGATATATATATATATACATGATGAATTCAACGTAATTTGCTTTGTTTTGTTTCCGATTGTCGTAAAGAACTAAAGTTAAGACCAAATAAGTATGACAATGATACATTTATTATTCCGTCTTCTCAGAAATAGTTCAGTTTAGTTGCCCAAGTGTTCTTGATTGATTCCTATAAAATAATTGTTAGCATAAGTGTTGAACACAATGATTGGTGTACAATTGGATTGTGACTAAAGTTTCAAACAGTCCTAGGTTACAAGTATGCTATCGACTTCTCATCTTCAGATTACCGATATGGTACATTAATGATGAAGAAATAAAGTTTCTGCATTTTTATTTGATTTCATTATGAAAATGATAAAAAAATCATTGATTTAAAAAGCAATCTGTGATAATATTCAAATAAACTTTGGAAAATTTACATTTCTCATTTATTCGCATTATTTTAATAATTATGAAGATTGTTGTAGAATTTGAGGGTAAATTTTATCACAAATTAACATCAGCGAGTTTATTTGATTTCAAGTCAGTAATAGAATGACATGCTAACAAAATAGCTCAAGGATCTCAGGTTCAATCCTGTGTATAGTTATAGATGTGAGCTGATGTAGAGAATTGTTCATGAATAATTGAAAACCAATACTCACTGAATAGCTGCATCATTCAAGTTCAAAACTCTGTCAACAGTTCACATTACCCAAGCATTTAACCAAAGATCAAATGAAATCAGCCTGTGACCAAGAGCCAACCATAATGGATCACATAAGACAAACTCAAAAATATATACTGACAAATCGAAATGGTAATTTTAACTTCAGCATTAGATTGGTTGTTTGAATTACTATTTTTATAATTTTTTTTATATAATTATTTATTCTACGTACAACTAATATTGATAAATGATATTTAATGTACCTGTTTCTTGCACACAACATTTGTTATGTGTAGATTAGTTACACTAATTGTCGACTGAAAACAAATATAAGTGGAAAAGGGTCTTTGTATTTCCTGCAACGCATTTATCAAAGTTCCTTGAAAAAAACTAAATTATTTTGTACAAACTAAATACATCAAAATCAAATCGCGTTCTTAAAAATGATTTTCTTTTTTCAAACATTACAATTGTAACTTCCTATTAATTATGTGACTTAATTTCCTGTTGTATAATTTCTATTACAGTTGTTTAATTGATGGAATGAGTTTATTCTTACTTAATATTCGTCTGAATATTCATACTGTTAATTTTGATTGTGTTATGATACTATTCCATAAAATTAGTCTTTGAAAATCCAATGGGAATATGAATTGCAAGATTTATTCACGGCTTGGGTGATAAAGTCAAAACATTTAAGGTTACAGATATCTTATCCAATAAATCTGACTCAGTAGTTTGAATTTAGTGCTTGTCGTGAAATGTGACAGTTCTGAGTGTGATCCAAGGCAGAGTAGTGGACGTGAACTTACGAAGTCGTATACCTTAAGAAAATAACTGTTCATTGACTGCCAGTTTTTCTTGGCTTTCTAAGTTAGTTAGTTAGTGGTATGCGATAAAATCCATCGGTCCACCTTACACTAGTACTGTTTAATTTTATCATAGACATGCTCCTAGATATAACCTTATCCTCGTTTGAATGTTCAGGAGTAGACCTATTACCAGGAGACTTGCTTATTGACTTAGAATATGCCGATGACATAGTCCTACTTGGTGAAGACGCTGACAAAATGCAGAGTCTTCTGACCACCCGAAGCAACAATGCAAACATGTTCGGGATGCGGTTCTCACCCTCGAAATACAAAATGATGCTTCAAGAATGGGTTGCATCGGCACCTGAACTAGTGATAGGGAGTGAAGTAGTCGAACGTGTAGACCGCTTCACTTATCTTGGGAGTCTCATCAGTGCTGATAGCCTGGTGACTGACGAAATCTCAGCTCGGATACAGAAGGCTCGATTGGCTTTTCGCAACCTGCGTCACTTATGACGTAGGCGAGATATCCGTTTGCTGACTAAAGGACGAGTGTACTGCTCAGTAGTTCTCTCCGTCTTACTTTATGGCTGTGAGAGTAGAAGATATTCGTAGGTTATTGGTTTTCGAGCAAAGGTGTCTTCGATGCATTGCTTGTATATCGTGGGACACCCGAGTGAGCAACGCTGTTATTAGGAATCGGGTGCTAGGTAAGAATGGCAGGTCAATCGATGAAGTGGTGAAACTTCATTAGTTGAGGTGGTTGGAACATGTGTCACGTATGCCTAACCACCGACTTCCTCGTCGAGCTTTGTTTTGTAATGTAGGAGTAGGTTGGAAGAAAGTTAGGGGCGGCCAAACCAAAACATGGCGGCGATCCATGAAATCGCTGACAAGTGGACTGAGTCATGTCGGTAATTGTCGACTACCTGGTTGGAGTCCGCGAGATGATAACAATCGATTGTTAGAGACCTTGAATGACATGGCTCAAAATCGTTTGCAGTGGCGCCGGTGCATTTATTCTTTGTGTTCTCTCAAATCCTAGTCTTCTGGATTCTTCAACACCTCTAGTTTTGTCTTTCTAAACTTTTCTCACTGAATCATACTTCTTGAATAATATCTTCTCATCCTAACCTCTCCGATTACTTCCAATACCTTTACTACCTCTTCTACTATTGGATTTTAATTGACAATTATATCTCTGTGTCGCTGTGATATGGCGACATGAACTGATGTACTTACGTACGAAGTTCTACGTTGCATCTGACTGACTGACTGACTGGCACTAATAGCGTAATGTAATGAAGTATAATATTAGCAGACCAATCGATCCATGCTACTAGCAGTTGAAGGACAAAAAAATGTCAACTAACTGGATAATAGACCCATGTTCTGGCATACTGTTCACATAAGGCAAATTACAGTCAATACTATGCAAGTCACAAATCAATATCTGTGTATCTCAGCTTTACATACTCTTTACTGAATCAAAGTATCAACGAAACTCTGTACGGAATAAAATCAGATGCTTTAAATTTTACGTGATTATATATCTTGTAGTCTGCATGACTTTTTCTCGTACTCTCTTTCTCTCGACCTACAACTTCAGTCTTTATTTATGAGTAGGCAAGAGCAAAGTGATACTGTCGTTATCTAAAATTATGATTAGTGTAGAACATGCAAAATCATTAAAAAAATAGATACAAATTTCAGAAATTATCGATTCAGAAATTGTCTCTGTTTGTTTGAGATTTTCATTGATTCTAAACTTATTAGAAATGTTCCATTTTTGTCTCACCTTACGTCTTTTAAAAAATAACCTTATCTATCTAAACATTCAGAAGTGGGACCTAAGGTCATGGGTGGGATTCCCACATGTGGTGGTCGTGGATGCGCACATCTGATGATTTCCGTCCTAAGAAAAACGGCTATCTAGTGCCTGAAGGTTTCTGATGGTGGTCTAGCATTGATAGATTCGAGATTTTGATGAAACTCAACAATTTCCACTATTGAATAATCATAAATGAAAAATAATAAGGCAAATACGAAAATTCTTTCCATAGAACTTACATAATTAAAATTATTCCACTGGAAAATAACCTTCATGGTAGATTAATGTCAACTTAAGAAACATCGAAAAACTAGAGAGCACTAAACACTTACTTTCATCTAGTAGTGGTAAACTTTTCAACAACAGTCGATTGTTGAAGAATTTTATTTTACATTTCTTGAATGAGAACATAGATAAAAAATTTTTGTTGATAATTCCCAACAATTCAGAAATTTAGATGCATATTACAAAATACTAAATAGAATATAAATTAAAAATCCCAACGTAACAATGAGATCATAGTAGAGAAAACTTAACAAGCCTATTAAACTTTTGTCATACCCAAATTAAAGCTTAACACTCACGCCTCATGATCGTTTTTGCTTGATTCTTTTCAACAAGTTACATATTTTACACACATATATATGATTATGATGTGCCATATTTCATCATAATTTTTAAACAACGTCCTTGTTTATTCTAGGTAGCAGTGAATTGTTTGAACCTTTGAACTGTATTGTCTAATTCATATTGCTAACAGACGAGTACCAATGTTGATTGGAATATTAACAAAAGTATTCATATCATGAATAAATGCAACCAGCAGTATGATATCTTTTCATGCAGCAGTTATTATAATCAAGTCTACATCCATTACCCTGTGAAATTTGATCCTTTTTATTGGATTAATAAATAAAAGTCATGTTTAGATTTATTAACACAAAAAAAATTTATTTGAGTTCAGTAATGATTTTAAACCCAATGAAATGAACATTTTGAATATATAGTGCTAGACTTTTGTTGATATTTACAATAATTCATAAAAATACTATACCAGAAAACCATTAAATTGTTGTCCATGACAAGGACTGTTCTATGTAGAATAAAATCTGCCTTGATTTAGTTACCGGGATTGTATCCGACGAGAAAGTTGAAGTTTTTGAATTAGGTACCGTATGAAGCTTTGAAGCTCAAAGTTCAACGAAGCTCGTAACAAAACTAATGTTGGTTGATTATGAAAACTACTTTCAAATAGAGATAACTGTGAATCTATTGAGAACCAAAGCTAATTGTGTATATATATTTGAATGCTTACAGTAATTTTAAATGATGATTTTAACTTTCGTTGTTAATGTCCATTTATTAAATTGTTTTCATTCAAACATCAAGCCTGTTCTTAACTATTCAATATTTGTTTTTGTCTTTATCAAAGTAAGAGCAATTGTATCAATTCATTACAATATATGTAAAGATATGTCTAGTTCAATTGAATTTAGTGACTTGTGTTTGATTTTTGATAAGTATTTGTTTCTAGCTTAATCGAAATGACACATGAACTATGCAGAAGGTGAACTGTATTCTATCAAACATAATTGAACATACTGTCAATTCAATCCCTAAACTTAAATATTTGATGATGTGTAACAAATCTGACCATCGTCAACATTTAGTTTTTGTCCAAAAGATAGGTTTTTGAAGTCATTTCGTCATGTCATATTTGCATAATATGGAAGCATCATTTCGGAAAGAAGTATATAAGAATATGGCAAGAACAATCGGAATCGACTAATTTTCAAATATTTAAAAAAAAGTTTAAAACACACAATCCTTTAAACTTTCGTTCAATATTCAATTTCACACAAGACACTCAGTGTGAAAATTCAAATGCCTATGGATGTTACACACACCAATCAGCCTGATAATTATGTTAAATGTATTCATTTTAACCATCTACTAGAGGAAATTTTGAATTTCTATTCAATTAAACAGCTAATTACTAACTTCTATTTTCAGCACACTAACTAATGAAGTGACATGAATATTCATGTTGATTATATCTTATAAGACACTTCATTTTACTAGACAGTAAGTAATTAAATCATTATTTTAGAAATGGAACACATGTAAACTGACTGGTATAATAATAACTACTGATTATTATTAATCTGATAATTCAATGAGTAGAAAGCAGAAAAAATCATTTCTAGATAAAAACTTCCTGATATTTTAATAACATGACAAACAATTGGTTCTTTGTTATTCTACGATATGCTTGTCAAACATTTTGTTAGATAATGCATATCGGTGAAGCAATTACTTATGAAACTACTGATATTATTATTATTGTTTTCTGTCTATTATTATTATTAGTTTTTTTTATTGTTATGCATATTGCTAAGGTTGATATCATGAAATGTTTATCAATGAATAAACAGGAAAACTTATGTTGTTGATACAGATATTTAATTTAGGTCATTTGGTTGATTGACATTTATATTTAGGTTAAAAAACAATTTGTGATGATTAACTATGTGTTATGCATGTTGGATCTACGAACTCAGTAATGTTTATTATATTTGGACTAGAAGGCCTACTACTTCAACTATTATATCTCAAGCTTACTTCCTATAATGGCTGTTGTACCGGCGACGAGTGAATGAGAAAAATGTTTTATTGTTATAACACTCTCTGCTTAATTCTTCCCTTTTTTTTTGATTATACTTCCAAACAAATTAATGATTAATTAGATATGATTAAGTTTATTTTTTCAAAAACAGTTTTAATTATTTCATGGTATAGAGATGATTCCAGTAACATGATCACTTAATTATTTAACTAGGCACAGTCTAAAAAACTAATTAGAAGGTTTTTACTTTGATTACTTCAAAATATCCGTACTAATGTTCAGAGAAATGGGGCATTCGTTTATTACTGTTAGGTCTATTTAAAAATGAGTTTTATTGACCAATGAATAATACAGAAGAAAACGCACACACGTACAAAGCATTAGTGATAATAATATGAAACCTGATTCTGAAAACATCACACCTATTTTACAGAATATAGGTCATGTTTGCTCATAAGTACTATTTCATATATATATATATATATATATATATATATATATATATATATATGAAATAGTCTTATCTGATGATCACCTTTCTTCTATGTACACACATATTCCTTACCTCATTTGTTAGTCGTGTTTATATTTTTTTTTTTAGCATAAATTGGCTTTTAAATTTTACTTATCACTGCTTAAGTCAGCATTTAATATTTGTTTGCCTGATTTCGGTGTCATTAGAAATTGACCATTGTTTATTTTTTGATAAGACTATTGTTAGTGAAAGATAATTTTTCTAAAAAAACAAATGAAAATCTGTTACAAGAATAATTAGAAAATTACACAACAAACAAACCATAGTGTCATATGGAAACAGATCCAAAAGTTTAATGAATCACCACTATCTATTGAATTGATACAATAGGCCATTCAGTTTTCGCAAAATGATTAATTTACTGATAATTTAATCAGAAGACAAACAGCTTTATTTGATTAGGTATATTTGTGACGATTTCACAAACATTTACACATAGTCCTGATGAATTCATGTTAATTTGTGCTGGGTTTGAGTAGTAAACAGTTTGAAAATTTGAGATGGTGGAGAAAACTTGTAGCTCAGGTGGATGATTGTGGTGGTGTTTTGTTCTCTGAGCTCAGAGAACAAAACACCACCACAGTTTGAAAATTATTATTTGTAATGTATCTGGGCATGGTGACTGGTTCATATCCATTCATTACTTTAGTTTACAAGAGTATTTCCATTAAAATTATAGGAAATACAAAACGACATTATTCAACCTGGGTCATTATCATAATGCAACTAAATGGTTGATATTCTATTCATCTATTCAATTACATTTAATATGTACAGTCTGAAAATAACAACACACGGCTACAGAACCAAAATAAATAAATATGATTATGCGTTATTATGCAGAGTTTAGGGGGGGGGATTCAGCAATCAAACCACAATTCAGTAATAAATAAACTGTTTATGCTACTAGACGAATGAAGTGTATTTGACCCTATACAATTAAAAGGTAAAGATCAGTGGCATAAAGTTCATTTTGTGTTTCTTCATGAAAAAAATATATAATGATAGAATGGAAGAGATTCTTCGTAACTGATATTTACTTTAAATCATTAAAGTAATATCTGCTGAGGATAACAGTCCATGTAATAGGAGGTACGTATTTAAATCTAAGAAAATATTAAACTAAGGATCATTAACAATGCTCCCTGTATCTTAATGCTAATCATATTTTACCTTCATTATCGTAGTTGTAGTACGTTAAATTACATGTCAGTTAGCTTTTGTATTCTGAAATAATGATCTGTATCTTCAATGAAATCACTTGAAGTGGTTTGGAAGTAAGAGGGGCCACAGTTACTTCTGACAGTCAAATAGTGATTACTTATTGTCATTTACAAAGACTTACTGGCAAATTACCCATCCAATATATAAGTATGTTGATGACATTTCTGTTCTAAGATCTATTCGTGATCTAATTCTATATGTAGTGATGTAACAGTCAGACACAGTGATTTACAAGAATCCTTAAAATGTCAGTCAATAGGAGTAATATTGGATGCTGTCAGTCACACATTAAATTAAACTACTAAAATATAAATCTTAACAATCATGCCGGCTAATGAATTTTAAATGCGAAAATAAAAGTCACAATTATAAAAAGTAAATATTTTCGTGTGTCAAACATTTACTTCTTGGACGAATCATTTAGAACAAATAATTTGTTTATTGATATAAAATACAAATAAATAAAATACTTACGTTATTAATAGTGCGATGATATCACGAAATCAACATAATTTTATTTTCAAGTTTTTTTAAATGAATTTTTCAAATGTCTTAATAATTTCTCATTGGTCAGCTGATCTGACCAATTAACATCAAGATAGGCAAATAAGCAAAAATAACATTGAACCTGATTGAAATGTTTATCATTCTAAAGGGCTACGATTGATATTATCACGGTGGTAGAGACTTGAAAATATTCAAAGCGAATGACTTGAACAAATAACAACAACACTGGTGAGAAAACAGTGAGAAAACGTAGTTAAAACAAGAGTAAATCGGTAAATGAAAACCATGAAATAACACAATGTTCATAACTTAAAGGAATAGAGGGAGTTGATGCATTTACTCCACTGCTATAACTATCACTCAGGGTCTCCAACTACGTATTAAAAGGAAGCTAAGTACCCTAATAAAGAAGTACATACACTCTCACACGATTTATACTAATAGTTTATTCCATGATGATTATTCTGTCATTATAAAACACATTGGATAGTAGCTGGCAATAACTTTCTCATTACACCTTGGGAATGGAATAAAGTTCGAAAGATGAGGAGATTTAATGCTGAGAACGTAGGCGATGTTAAACACTGACAGAAATGGTTGAACAATAATAAATCGAAAACTGACTAACCTTTTTTTCATTTGAAAATATCCTTCCAAGCGGAGCTTTCAAGCTTCTCAAAATGGGAAGTAAATAGCAACGAACACTAACAGTAAAGAAGAAATTCAGCCATAAAATAAATGTAGGCTAATGATATTAGTATGGAATTGTTTAAGTCATTAGGATGAAATTTAAGCTATTTCTAATTAAGATCCTAAACTGCTCCAGGATGGTCATGTCAATCAACATTTCCGCATATTACAAAAAGCAATAAAAAAAAAACTCTACAAAATATTCAATGGAGAAAAAGGCTTTTAACGGCTAGTGTGGTTCAAAACGTAGTTGGCTGAAGTAGGTTACTGCTATTCACTATTCTACATACATTTTGACATAGGTCTTTGAAATTACGCTGTTTCAAATGTAGATCAAAAAAGGCTTTGTTGTTGAATTATTTTAAACTCTGTGCTGAAAACTCCTCACTTTGTTCAACATACAGTAATGAACAAAAGAGATTATTATCATACAAGGTATATATTTAAATTATTATATACCTTGTTATTAGATTTGTTAATTTCTTGTTTTAATTTAATTCATCAATTTATGCATTTTCGATGAGTTCAATAAACAATATCATACACTAATTTACATATTTTAATTTAAAGTAAAAAAAATTTTTTTTTTCATTTTTAAAATAAAATAAAAAGAACAAACATTCTTTACATGATATGATGTCAATATGGTTAATGAATTTGAATAGTTTTGGAGTGTGTTATCATGGATTTCATGAAAGAAGAAAAGAAAATAATCATTCATTGAATAAAAATATATAAATAATAATCATGTCACCTAAATAGATAATAAACCCTTTTTGCTGCTCTACCATTTTCTTTTTATGTTTGGTATCTTGCTTAAACTACACATTCATTGTTTTTCAATTCACATGAATTTCTATTTAGTAGAAAAAATTACTTTGATTACACCGCTCGTATTTTATATCATTTAGTCAAACAACATCACTATGATTATTATTATTATGGTTATCTGCATTGTCGAGATGAAACATCACCTGCTATGCATTTTATTCATAATACATTTTCTTGTACTATTGATAACGACTTGAAACTGAATGAATCCTGATTGAACACAAATCGTGAAGTATCTACACTGTAACAGCAGGGAAACATTCACCATTTTTTTAAAACATAAAACATAGTCGAATTTACTAATGTATGCCTTATTTTGGCTTTTGTCAAATAACACAATAATTATGAATTTATAACTATATAGCCTCATAATGAAGTGATAAGAAATATTCCTGGTTTTTCAACTAAATATATATTTGTATAATCAATTTCTATACTTTGTCATGGGATTGTTATATGGAAGTTTAATGATGAGGCAATTATTTCGATAAAAAATTATTAGTGACTGAAATAATCTAAATGTATAATTCACTTAATTAATCGCTGCCAAAAGTTCTACAATTGCTGACTGATCAATGCATATATTCATAAAGAAATTGATACCTTTATATATATTTCATCACCAAAGAATTATGAAGATTATTGGGTTCCATTGAAATTATGAATCGATCAATCTTAGACCACCATTAGAAACCTGAAAGCATTGAACCGCGGTCTTGCACGAGAACGTTTAACCCCCAGACCACTAAGCTAATGTCCAACAGTGTTAATGTCTAACAAGAATCAATCCCTGATATTGTGAGACCACATCTATTGTCTTTAGTTGTTACTATCTACACTAGAGAGGGTTGAACTCCACTGGTCACAGGATCTCACTAGAACTCAGAGAATTTCCACACGAAGGTAGTCAATGTTGAGCATATTAACACCGTCGGATTTCGGCCCAGTGGTCTGGAGGTTAAGCGTTGCTGTAGGAGACCGAAGGTGTTGGGTTAGATTCTTACGTGCGGAGGTCTTGGACGCTCACAACTGATGAGTCTTATACTAGGACGAAACGGCCATCCAGTGCTTCAGGTTTCTAATTTTGGTCTAACAATGGATGATTCATAACTTTGTATCTGAAATAGTACTTCTAGAATAACCAATGCATTACTCAAGAATGAAATAAAACATAGAACTTCTACCTGTTGTATCAACTATTTCCAGTGTTGCTTGATTTTTTTTGTTTTCCAGCTGATGATAATGTTGACGAATAAAATATTCTACCTTAAAGAGTATAAATCGTCTTAACAGAATTGTCATTCGATTAAAGTGAAGATCAGTTGACATGATTTTAATTTTTCTTAATAGAATATAAGTATCTTTTTCAATTTTGCCCAATGAGAAACGAAATTATAAATTTATTATCAAATATTTCCTACACAATGATAAAATATACACATTGATCTTTTAACCAAATAAGTTTTTATGTTCAACGTATACTTTCGTCGATATACGGGAATTTCGTAATGAAATTCTAACCTTGAATAGTTGATGATGATTTTTAAAATAATAAATCTACATTTATTGTATTGTAGCAGATTTATGGAAGATTAAACTCTCAGAACTAACCTATTGAAAGTTGGTGTTTATATTTTAATTATATAGTTATTAAATACTTGGATAATCGTATCTTTATATGTTTCCTGTTGTTAGCTTCCGGCTGGTGACTAAAACTGTTCGTATACATTTTCTATTCGTTGAGTAGTTAATTATTAATTAGGAACATATCACTCAGTTTTTTTCTTCACCTATGACTGGAGAAAACTGGTCGTCGGCCAATGTTCGATTGGGGGTAACAGGCGTAAGTAAGTAAGTAAGTATGGTATAGATATATACATGTTGATATTTTCTATTTATATTGCTCTGTGCTCAGCGGCTTAATGTAAATTATCATTTTAGTTTTGAATTATAGAAAAAAATGGTATTACAAATGTCTTATTTACTTTTTGGTCTATGTTTCGATTGGCTGCTGGTTTACAGGGAATCAGTATCCTTAAATCAATAAGAATACAAGTCATCTCAGTCATAGTGAAAAGTTATCATTTATCAGTTCAAGCGTAACATTAGTTAAGCTGGTTTAGTAGGTGTGAATTATATTCATATTAGTGAAATATATCTATTGATTTCAATAAGGAAAATATAAGAAAGTTCAAGTTTATAAAAATTGTGAAACATTTAATAGGTAACATTGTTAAATTTAAATCAGCATGAAAATCAACATGTGAATGTCATGGAATTGACTTGATAAACTAAAATTTGTCAGAGATTTCACTATAGAAACAAGGAAAAATTCTATCCATAGGTAAGAAAAATAACCCAACAGTTTTTGCACTCATTGCTTGATTTATTAAAGTGCCTATATAATTAATATACTTATTCAACATTTTATTGATGTGAAAGTGTCTAAACCTGGTTTTTGTAACGGTTAAGATATATTTTTTATTAAACGTCATTTAGGTTTTCTTTCAATCACAGACTTTTTAAACTTAATATACTATAATTTGTTAAGTAATAGATTTATTTACATTTCGATTCGGGTGAGTTGCACTAACTGATTAACATAGAAAATTAGGAATTAAATATTTCGTCTATTTACGATATTCTTCATTCATACAAAATCAAATCTCTGAGTCATTTGTCTGATTGATTTGAATCGTTCCATTTATAGTTAGGACTTCAATCGATCAGGCTCTTTTGCTTTATGTTCATAAAGTAACGATTGCTTTGAAATTGCCATGAAGTCACAAGCATTGCCAAGCAGAAATGAATGTTACCTAGCAGTGGAATCCGGAACATTAGTTTGGTCCTAAATTGTAACTATTCAACCCTAGAATTGACCGATACAAATGAATAAATTTTCATCCCATTGCACAAACCAGTGGCTATCTGGACTGAGTCACCAGGTGGATAACGCAATGTCGTTTGAAGCCAACCGTAGCGGGTTTGGTTCTCAGGTTGAACATCAACTTTGTGATGCAGATAAATCCGAAAATGTAGTCGCAGAATGGAACGAAATTTGCGTCCTGGATTCTACTGCTAGACAACATAAATTTCTTCTTACGATTTTGTCTTTCGGTATCTCAGAAGAACAACACAAATTTAAAAATGATAATTTGAAAGTCTATCGAGTGACAAGAACATATTTACGATTTAACTTTGACTTCACTTGTAGCGAGTTGATATTCTAATAAAACTGTATTCGATGATAAGTGCCAAGCAACCTAATACTATAACGACGATACCATAACCTGGGGACTACTAAACTTAATCCAAACAGAAATAATATTGCTTTTGCTTTATTCTTCATGTACACACAAATAAATCTGGCATATCCAGTTAATTTATAAAATTATTAACAATTAAAAAACTTATAAGCACAGAATGATATAATCTTTGGCTTTAGACATATACTTGTGATCAATGGTTGTGA